GTTGCATGCCACAGTTTCTCTTCATGGATCAGGAGTTGATCAAATGGTAGGATATTCCGATACATAAATCAACACAAGCAGCCACAAAATCTTGATCCAGTGGAATTATGATTCCAACAAGAAATTTAACAATAAAATGCAACAATATATGCATGATAAGATAAAGAATTTATATTTCAAATTTTCTCATTGACTTTGGACTGCGGAGTGATTTTTCCTCGTATAACCTTGCAGTCAAATCAGAAACAAGAGCATACTTACTGTTTTCACAGCATGATGTCATTAAGGCTGCTAATGTTACTCTATTGACATAGTGATCTATGTCTAGTAACTTGTGAAAGAACATAGCTACTTTTCTCTCGCTACTTTAGTTTCCTAATCAACGCATTAGCAATTTGAATCTAGAGTTTTCCTTCCAGCCTTTCCAGGACCACCGCAGCAGAACCACAATCATCTATCTTGCAACACTCATAAGCCAAAGTAACTCGAATAACTTCACATGGGATAAGCCCCTTTTCTATCATAGTATCACATAAAACACACGAGCTTCGTCCAACTTTGAGTCTTTACGAAGACCACTTATAAGAGAACTATAACTGATACTATCTGAAGCATAACCATGGTCACTCATCCTATGAAAATACTTCATAGCCAAGCTTAAATTTCTTTCCCGACAATACCCACATATCATGGACGTATAGGTTTCCTTTGGATGGAACTGGTCCACTTTTCACAGCTTCATTGAAAAACATCTTACTTTCTCTCATTCTCTTTTGCCTACAGAAGGATGAAATTAAAGCGGTGTATGAATAAATATCAGCTTGAATGCCACCCTTCACCATCTTATTGAACAACACCAAAGCCTGATTAATATCTGCCTGTTTGCAATGTTGAGTTATGAGAATAGTATAGGTGACTTTATCAGATTTCAATCCACCACGATGCAAACCATTTTTGAGCACTTTGTAAGCCTCTTGTACTCTTCCCTTCTTATAAAGGTCATCAACAATGGCATTATATGTACATATGTTGGGGATAAAACCTTCATTGCTCATCATATTCATCAATTCAAATGCTCTATTGAAATTACCTTCTTTGCAATGTCCATCATTAAGTGTTGAGCATGTGTTGGCGTTTGGGACTAATTCCTGTTCCTTCATGTTGTGAAGCAGCATTTCTCCCCAGTGCAATTTGCCATCTCTGCAATGCCCACTTATCATTGCCATGGAAGTAAGGACATTTGGCTTGTGATTTTCACTCCGAACAAGCTTAAGGAAACGTCTGAATGCTTTCTCAGTCCATCCATTCTTGCAAAGACCATCCTTCCTTAGTCAATGTCGTATGTGCATACACATTGGGTTTCCAACGTTTACGGACGCTTGCTTGACGCTTCCACTTTTACATAAACCTTCTATCATAGATGTAAAGTTAATCAAATTTGGCTTCAAACCCATAACACTTAGTTTATGAAAATACCAAGATGCTCTATTTGTTAAACCCTTCTTATAGAAGCTTCTGATTATCAATGTAAATGGGCATTATCAATCACAAAGCCCTTCTCAAGCATGGCACTTAATCACCTATCAGCTTCCAAAATATTACCTATTTTGCAATATGCAATAACCATCAACTTAAAGCTTGTCGAATCTAGGCGGGCCCCTCTCACACACATTTCTTCGAGCACTTGCTCTGCATATTCAACCAACCCCACATCGCTAGTAACCTTCATAATCCAATTCAATGTTTGAGTGTTGGGAATCAAACCCTGATTATGCATTTCAATCACCATATCTACAGCCTCCGTCAACTTCCCTATCTCAGCAAAAATCTTCACCACAGATCTCAACACTTCATTGGCTTTCTCGAAATTTCTATTCCCAATCAACGACATTGAAGAAACCATGTAGAGCCGCATAAAACGCCGAAACTTTGGAAACCCAATTGTCCAATTCAAGAAACTAAACGCTATCATTGATCCAGCTTCACTTGCAAGTGAAGCAACCACCCGTAACGGCTTGCTCGTGAGTCAAGGAATAAGCGTCCGCGTTAAGATGAAGCATTGGATGCGACCCCATCATGTGGGCTTGCCAATGATAAGAATCACAGACTAATAAGCATACCATTTTTACAATTGATTGAGGATCTGGTTGAGATGTAGGTTGAACCGAAGAGGAGGATATAGTATGACAAGACGACGGGTGGTATTGTCTGCATAAAATAGAAGTGGCTTTGTAAGTGCATAAGAATTATGGTGAACGCCATTATTTCTGAGAATCAGAACGAAAAGCATGAAAATTTGACCATTGGAAGCGAACTATTGCATCTCAGTCAACCGAATTAGAGAAAAATTCCCCAGTCCGTTCAAATATTGTTTGCCGTTGGGGATCCCAAGCAACGATGTAGACTTTATTTTATTTTTTAAATAATATTATTACTATTATTTAATTAAAAAAATTACACTTAAATCTCAACACTTAAATCTCACATAAAAGAATTTATATTAAAAAAATTTATAAAATTCACAACATAATCCTAAATTTCAAATCAAGTGTATTTATAACTTGACAATAGATATTTATAATTAGACAATAGTATTTATAACTTGTAAAGAAAAAAAAAACTTGTAGTCACAAATTGTAAATACTTTTACCTAATTATAAATGCTTATTATCAAGTTGTAAATGCATAAGATTTAAAATTTAAGAGTATTTTGTGAATTGTATGAGACCTCTTAATAATAAATTCTCTTATGTGGACCTAAGTGTAATTTTCCTCATTATTATTATTATTATTATTATTTTAAAAAAAACCAACAATTCAAGGATTATTTTTATTTTGTCTCAAATTAAAATTAAAATTAAAATCTTCAAATTAAATTTATATAATTAAATCTAACCTATTTTACAACAGCAAAATCATTGAGTAGCAATGTTTTAAATTCCCATTGAAATGTGCAAGATTTGATTATTTTGATCTGGAAAATGATATAACATGAGTTTGGATTGTGGGATTATGATTGGAAGAAGGGTGTTGGCGGCAACAAATCATGGACAAAGAAAAGTGTTGGTGCCTAGAAGAGTTCCTGGAAAGAAGAAAGAGGAGATGAAAGAATTTAAATAATTTAAACAATATAAATATAAATTCTAAGTAAGTGCCATCTCAAATTAAAATTTTGTGAAGTGTCATGTTCTGATTGGTCCTTATGGCACTTCAGATCTACCTAAGAATTTCTTTCCAATCTTTAAGATGTCATGGAGGTCATTTATCATGAAACATGAATAATTTTTGTTGACTTAATTAATAGCGCGTTTTGATTTTTATATTTAAATTCGTTGTTACATTTAATTCAAGTAAATTCTTCAAACCATCCGCCCGAGAACAATATATATATATATATATATATATCCAAATGACATAATGATTCTAGAGGTAGAGTGTCTCATTTTGTGAAAAAATACCACTTCAAGTTTGTATACTTTAACCAGGTTTTGTTTTTAATCCTTATAATTTATTTTTATAGTTTATTATTCCTTTTTTTATACTCTCTCTATTAAAAAATATAAAATATTTATAAATGAATCTCATTTTTTAATAAAGTAATTATTTATTTTCAAACTAATACTATATTTATCTCTATTTAATAGGATATTCTACTTTAAAATAAACATAAAGTATTTCTATATTAGAGAAAATTTTAAATGAAAAAAAAAGTAATAATTATACTTTAAAAACACTTAAAATATTTTATATTTTTTAACATTAAATTTTTAAAAAATACTTTATATTTTTAAATAAAGAAAGTACAGGTTTTTCATCCCTTTTATTTAGATGTTTGAAATGTTGGTCTTTTTGTTTTGAAATATATTAAAAAGGATCATGAGTTGGCCCAAATACTAAGGTTCAATGTCCTCAGATTTTTTCAGTGCCTTCCTCCCTCTTACTCGTGCACAGTCATCTCAAGAAAGTAAAATTTGGGAAGTAAATAAATGCGTTAACGTGCTTGCTCACTAGACCTTTTAAGATAATTTAGATTTTGTTATTTTAATCATCTGCCATCATGCTGCAAATCCCTTATGGTATTTGACATGACTTGATTTCTATTCTTATCTAGCACAAGTTTTTTATGGCTTTCTATTAAAAAAAAAGTAGGATTTTTTTTTAATAAAACAATTTTAAACAGACAATTTGATAATTTTATTCAAGTCAACATATTTTTCCCTAGTCATTTTAATAGATTTAATATTATAAAGTTCATGTCAATGCAATTATAACACCGTTTTGGCCATCTCTTGGTTCTTTTGGATATTTTTTACAATACAGGGATTAACATTCCACATGGAGGAAACAAAAAGGATAGAGAACCACGGATATAAACTATAAGACTTAGAAAATGATTAAAATAATAGGACTTGAAGTGATATTTTCTCATATTTTGTTGAAATTTTGTATTTGTTATGCTTTAATTTGTGGATAATTAATCAAATCAATTTGTCCCCATTGTCTCCTTAAAAAGAAAAAGAGGAAAAGAATTGTTTTTGGAGGGGGGGGGGTCCAAATTAATTATCCGGGGTACTGACCTCTATCATGAAGCGAGACTGCAAGTATAGGAAGGTCAGTGGTAGAGATCATATTCGTCAAGATTATATAAAACTATGGAATCAAGCCAAGCCTGCATAAATCAAACTTAACCTCAATTGAAACCTGCTTCAGATCTCAACTTCTCCAAGCCCACTAGTTTGGTTTAAACTTCAACCTTCAGGTTTTGCCTCTTGAAATCTAAATCAAATCAATCGCTCTTTAATCGAGTTCCATCATGCATACTTCGATGCATGAAGGTATTAATATATTGAATGTAGATAGAAATAGCGTTTGGAATATCAACTTGGTGTCCTTGGAAGCACAAAATAACCTTACAAACTTCTTTCTCAAATTTTGAAAACATCATTTCAGATTCAATAACTTAAGACACAATACAAAGCTTCTTGAGAGTATATCCCATGTATTTAGAATACTTCTAAGCGGTATAAGATTTATCAAGTCTTATCAATGAATCAGGCTCCACAAACACTAATTAAGAAACAAAATTAATAAAGATGAACAAACAAACTGCACAAGCAATTTCAGCATGATGGATATGTATGTATATATATTTTTCATAAGGACGCATTAACAATATCAAGGACTAAACAACACTCTTTTGAACTGAGGGAGGCCAAGACAGTCTCCTATGGCTTGTACCATTATCTTGATGGACCTCACCTGCCTGGCTCTCTTCTCCATCTACTACTGCCTGCTGACCCAATTCTTGCCTCCTTAGGTTTCTGATAGCTAAGTCATCGAAGCTTGATTCGTTTTTCCATGGCGGTGGTGTCACACAATCAGAAACTCCTGGGAGTCTCTGAGAGGGATCTCCAGCAGGTGTCCTTGGCCCAAGGGTGTCAGAATAACCGACTCTCAGATTTTGAAGAGTTGCAAACGATTCTCTCATTGCTGACATGGCTTCGAAGAACCGAGTGCAAGATGCCAAAGCCACTGGGATTGGTCGAAGCATTTCCTAACAAAAGAAGATTGGAATTTAATGAAGTAGTCAAACGCAAATGAAGCAAAGAGGTAGGACCTTCAAGAACTAATGAATGAACAAGCCACAAATTGGTGATTCTCCAAAACATGCAGTTGACATCAGCTAGCAATTACTCATTTAGCAGAAAAGATAAGATCAGTCTCGGAGAAGCTGAGATGATTGCTTTATTTTATTGCAATTTGATTGATTCAAGAGCACACAGAATTCTTCTGACAAGAGATGTCTTCTGATTATGTGTATTGCACAATTTGAAGGGTTGATAGCTAGACACTTAAAATAGGTTGGGTACAATGATGCGACTCAATGTCATTCAGAGTGAAGAGACACCAGAGGAAAACAGCGTGCAATAAAATCGTTTACCTGATACAAAGTAACACAAATTGATGAGTATTTACCTGATTATCCTTCAGATGTTAAGCTTTCCATTTTTCATACCAAAACAGATAATCTTGCACTTGTTTCAAATATGTACACCTTTTACAGCTCCATTCATACAATTAAATATTCACTGATCAGATTCTCAAGCAATAACCTTTGGACACGTGTAGTTAATCTTAAACTTTCCAAAATTCTTACTCCCTCTATTCCTTCTTATACGACAACTTTTAGAAGGTCTTAGCGTTCCTATTTATAAGAAGTTCTCCAAAATCTAGACAGCAATTTAAAAAAAAAAAAACCTGAAAAAGGTGCTTAAATTAATTAAGAGAGAGAATAGTATTTAATAAAGGGTATTTGAGAAAAAATGAGGTGATTTTAAAGCCATCAATTATTTTTCTTGGTTTATGTAAAGTAGGTAAATTTATCTTATAAAATAGAATGGAGGAAGTAGAAAACATGATGAAGGATGATTTGCAACTTGAACTCTCAAGTAGTAAGAACTAATGCATTTGTGTCAAGGCAAATTATTTAACAAAGCAGCAACAATACCAACAGGGATTAGCATTGCAACAATAACAGCTACTGCTTGAGATACGAATAGTATTAAAGCATTAGTAGTCATTATAGCAACACAATCAATTAATCTGAATTTAACAAAATAAAAGTACAACTGTACAAACATACCCCCCAGACAGAAGGAGGTTCCTTGAAATTCTGACTCCAATGGAAATCTGCCACTGATGCAGTCAAGGCACCATAATCACTAGCAGCCTTCATCAATAGTTCAGAGAATTGTTTCTGCATAAGTTGAAATATTCTACTTAGCATTAGAATTTGGCATCCCTACATACTTTCAAAATAACATTCGACAATACTTGACAAACATTTAAAGATAATTTCAACTAATGTTTGAAAATAAACAAATCAAACCAAACAGAATTAATTGATTATCAGACGCTTTTCCCAATAATTTAAAATCTCCAGTATATACGAATTTACAGTCTGTATTTTAATTGATATTCAATAAACATTAACTTTTGAATTAGATAATTCAAGCTTTGCAAGCTCAATACTGGTATAATTCACAGAAAGCATTTTTATGTTGTGATTTCGTACAAGAAAGCATTAATAAATTTTGGCTAAAACTGACTTGGTCAAACTGAACCAATCTGGTCTTCAATGATTGTTCAGTTGAATCACTTTAAGCAAATCAAATATGTAGAACTTCTTTGTAACAATCATTGGTTTGATTCAGTTTGGTTTCATTTAGGTGCAAAAAAAGACAAAATAGAGGCTAGAGAAATGAAAACTCCAACAATATGGGCTTCAAAACAAAGAGCCCATCAAACCAACAACATTGCTCTTGTACTAGTGCTGTGATCTTCAGTAATTGTCTGAATCCATAAGCTCATGACTCCGCAAGTCACTCAGAGAGCTTTCACTAAACTTGACTGAAGCCAATCTGACAATTAAACTACTTCAATTTCCATAATAAAACTCAACACCAACAACTACATTAAAAAAGCAGTAACTTTAAAGATTTAAAACCATTAAAAATGCACAATCTTCATAAAATATATGATCAAGCCAGAGGAAAAATTAGCCTTTGAACCCCTAAGCAACAAGCTAAAGGAAAAAGTAGTCACTACACTGTAAGAGCTAAAACCTCTGGCAAACAAACAAACATACATGTAAATGAAAAGCCTTCTAGGAAGTTGCCAATTGAACTCACTAATTGAAGCAAGCAAAATCAGAACGCCGACCATCAAAAGAAAATGTCAAAATTCAACAACAGTCGGTTGTTTCAAGCATGCAAAACTAGGTAACATTTTACCTCAAAAATAAGAAGAAGAGTAAGTTATACAAATCTTTCTTGAGTTTTGTTAAAATTACAGACTTCTCATAAAACAAAAAGTTTCAATACACTTTAGTCCAATTGATTTTTATTAAAAATACCCTCCAGTAACTTGAGGGAAAGCCTTGGTGCAGCAGTAAAATTGTTGCTGCATAAACTGGTGGTCATGGGTTCAGATAATAGAAGCAGCCTCTCACAAAATGCCAGGTAAGGCTGCATACAGGAGACCCAAAAGTAGGTCCAACCATGCCCCAATCCCATGCATAGCAAAAGCTTCAAGCACTAGTCTGTCCCTTTTACCCTCCATTAACTTAGAATAATGAGATATGGACATATCAGAGTCTTCAATCATGTCATAACTGCTTCTAAATTTAATGATTCCCGGTGTTAGGATTTTGTAGTGCTGCTTTGATCAACATTTATCATCCAAGTAATACCAAGAATCACGCTGTAGACTACATCGTAGAAAAAGCAGAAACTTAACAAAGATTTCAAGTTTCGGCACAGGATCACTTAAATTGTATATACACTAACCTGATATTCTGCTTCTACAGGAATGCAATCAAGCGAATAAGGTTGCTGTAGGCGAGCTATAATGCGATCCTGCCAGATTTTAGGTAATTAGGACAAATAAAGTAATATTCTAATCTTTTACCCACAAAAGAAACAAAAGAAAAAAAAAGGTAATATTCTCATCTAAATTAACTCCCAGAGAAAGAGGAAAAAGAAGAAGAGCTCTGGAGAAAGCATATAAAGTTAGGAAGCAACTTGTCTCATTCTATTATTAGCAGTTAGCTTATGGCTATCCATCATATGGGATTCAATCACCACCAATCCTCTTCCCTCAAACAGAATATCAAAATATTAAAGTAATAAGATATAATTAAAGCAATGTGCTTAACTAATTAGCACCAGTTGAATACACTGGTAATGGAAAAATAATGAATTAAGGCAAGAAAAGACCATTTGTACGGATCTTTTGTCCAAAGTGCTTATGCACAGGCAATCTCATGTAAGAAAGCAAGGGTAGCATAATGAACTATGCATGCTACCTTATTTTGAATAACATCTTTCAATATATTTGTAATCCTTCCCAATGTCTCGATCTTCTTTTCCATTTCACTGACATGGGTCAAATGTGCAACATTCTTATCATCCTAGAAATTTCAAAAGTCACAAGATCACAGAAAATTGAACACAGGTTAGCAAGTTTTACAATAATTATGTAAGAAAGAATTCTTCAGTTTTTTTAATTAACAGGAATTTTGGTGACTGGTTCAGTGGATCTTTTACAACAATCTAACCTTGCGACCTTGAAGTTCCACTTGCAAATCAGCGATTTTTCTTTGTACAGTAGTTAGTTCTCTCAGAACCCTGATTAAGTCTTCACCCTTTTCACCTGTAGTGGAGGATGAATTAAGAAGTTCTTCCTAAGGAAAGAAGAGAAAGATAAGATCAGCCCAGTAAAAATTTTGATCCATCCACACCACATATTGCCAAATAATAGATGCTTCTAAGCCATAAGCATGAGCTTTTGTAAGATTATCTATCATTATTACAATGGTTTAGATAGTCATTGACACGAATAACAAATAATACATAGATATACAAGCAGTTGTCATCATATTATCAAAGTGTTAAAGTCAGACGGCTTCAAGAGTGTTAGTAAGACAATATGATCCAAATAATGTAATCTGAATGTTGATAGATTATATGATCACATTCCTAGCTTGTCTTGACAGATTTGTTTTTCATTTCACATCATCTAGTTTTAGATAACATTCTGAAGATTCAAATGCTAATTACATGCCCCAAATTGGTGAAGAATAAGAGATTTATGGAGTTCCATTGTTCAAGAAAACGGGATTGCAAGCAGATGGTAAAGATTAGGTGGTCCAAAACAGAAATTAATTGATGGCAGTACCCCAAAAACTTAAGGATCAATTATATGGCAAGTCTAATCAAAATGTAAACATGTTAGTCATATATTGGGGAATTTCACAAGGTGACCAGAGGTTTTAAGTTGGTTTTCTCTACAGGAAATTGAGTGTACCACGTTATTTATAATCTGTCTAATAAAAACATAACATTTAGATGCCATTAAATATAAATTGATTCTAACATTAATGATAGTAAAGAGAGAAAAATCAAGAAACTAAATATACATTCTATTATAAAAATAACATCAATTAAAATAATATCACATGAGATTTTATTCAGTTGATTTGAAGCATTCTAATTGGACAGACAACAAATGACATGACACACCTGGTCTACCTAAAAATTTCTCTTTCTCTACAACAAGGCATCATTGACTTTTTGAACTGATAGATCAAGCTAGTTTGATTCTTGCACTAATATTTCATACATGATGTGTCACAAATATATAGTAGCCATGTATGATAATTCGCTTAACCACTAGTAGCATGCTTTGATGGGAGACAGTGTAGGTGAAGAAAAGATTTCATTGAAAACTCTCTCGTATGGGTAGTATTTTTACAAGGAGGGAAGGACAACGGAGGATTTCCAACTAAACATCCAAAATGCACCAAAGTCCTCCTGCGTTCACAGTCATAAGTTGTCCCAAGCTGAGGGATTTTGGAAAAGAAAGTCTTCCCAAGCAAGAGTTAACTGTCCCTTCCCCTCCCTTCTCTAACCTTCCTTTTTCTTTGGATTCCTTTCCTTCCCTTCTCCTCCCAACTCCCAAATGTACCCAAGCATTTAATTTGACTTCTTTTATGGAATTTCTTTTATGCCAATCAATTGCCAATTAAGCTAAGCTTCAGGCTTATAAATAACAATAAAAATTGAACCACGGACAAAAACAATGGAAAGGTTGGGCAATTTCGTGAATTCTAAATACACATATCCCAGCAGAATTCAAACCTTTCCCAGTCATTCATTATGTGATTACACATTCACAGAACAGACAGCTTGCTTCCCCATGGTCTGAAAGTAGTTATATTAAAATTAAAGTTCATTATCAAAGTTGCCCCAAAAGTTTTTTGTAAAAAATAACAAGAACTGAATCAATTCAAGATAGTGGATTTTTATTATGAGGTGGCTCCCCCCAAGTCATCCTTCAAACTTAAAGTTATAAGGGAGCATTATCATTTTAGTCAATTATATTTCTCTACATTTCCCCATCTCTCCATTAGGAACATGGAAAAATTATGTCAGAATACATTCACTTGGTTGTAACAAGCATCTCCTTCTTATGAGACTGACGCCTCCTAAGGCTAATCCAAACTGTTGTATTTACATCTGTGTCAAATCATCGTCAACGATCATTTTAAAAAGAAAATTAACCTACTAATAATCCCAATGAAACTTGAGCGCAGACCTCTATAAGAGACTGAGTAGTTGTCACAATCCTATACTCCTCCTCAAGAAACTGATCCCGTATCAAAGGCATATGTTTACAGAGCTACACATGTTGAGTGTATATGGTAATTCTAATCATTAATTTTCTTTTTTATTTATTGGGTAAACGAAATAAACGAGATGTAGAATCAACCTAAACAATAACGTGTACGTTACGAACAAAGATGTTATCATGTACAGTTGTACATTATTCAAACAATATCAGTTCCATCACAAATCCCAGGTTCCGGTACCTCCACTTAATTTTGTTCAATTCTCATCTTCCACTGTCACTGGGTATTTGGAAGTATGCTTAATTACGGGAAGTAAAAAAAATGCCATAATAAGGAAAATGAAAACCATTCTGAAGTAGAAAAGCAAATTTGTTGAAATCAATCTAATTTAAGCAACAAGAGGCAGAAAATATACCTGGGAAGGAGGAGGGGAGACAGAGAAACCAAGATCGGAGGCAATAGAAAGAGCGTCTGACATGCCCCCAATGCGTCTGAGAGGCTTCCTACCAACCCAAGTTGAGTCACCAGCCATCGACATTTCGAAATGCGAACACCTTATGAGGCAAAGAGAAAAGGCACTGTCTTTGAATACGAATTGAACTGAAGAGAAATTGAGCTTCGTGGAAGAGGAGGGGGCAAAAGAAAAATTTGAGTGAAAAGAAAGAAACTTCAGTTTGCTTCTTCTGCCTAATGCTTCGATTCAAAGATAAAAATGGAAATTTGGGAAAAGGCTAAGGGCAAGGTGGGAAGACTGAAAAAGTAAAAGCCGCTTTCTACCTCATAACAAAGGGGATAATTTCTACCAAACTTCGGCGGCAATGTAAAATATGCAATGAGGAGAAAGAAGCTGATAAATAAACCAAGAAATATCGCAACTGAATGAGTGATGAACCTGCGTCAACGGTGCCGAGAAAGATGGAGGTGAAGTGGTCGAAAGAGACCCAGGGTATCAGGCAGAGTCAAACGGAAAAGGAGAGGGAGTCGAACTCAAACTAGATTGGGCCGTCGATGAAGGTGGAGGGAGAAGTCGACGAAGGTGGAGCGGGAGAAGTCGAACTCGAACCAAAATCAGATCTGCGATGGATGAAGCTTCGATGAAGTCGACCTCGAACCAGATTGGGCCGTCAACGAAGGTGGAGAAAGAAGTCGATGACAATGGCAAGGAGAAGCAGTAGCTGCCGTCGACGAAGGCGGAGGGAGAAGTCGGTGGAGCGAACCAGAGAAGAGAGTGGAGGAACTTAGGAAGGGTGGACGTGGACTGCGTAAAATTGAGGGATAATTTTTGTCTGAAAAAGTAGTTAAAAAGGGATAGTTTGGTAAAAAAAAAAATTGGAAATCTAACGTAAATGCTAAATACACCAAAGATCTTTTTGGTTAATTGATTTAAAAATTTATTATTTTCACTTTATGATTTGCAATTATCAAAACAAAAATGGTTATATTTCTAAAGAGAAAAACTTATTAAACATATCATTGTGTCCTAATATTTGTTATTCTCATACTCTTATCAACTATTTCCTTCACTTAAAAATATAAAATATTTTTAATCGAATCTCACCCTTCAATAAAATAATTACTTACTTTTACACTAACCCTATTTTTTTCTATTTACTTCTATTAAATATCCTATAATAAATATAAAGTCATTATCAATAGGACCATTTTTTTAAAAAAGAAGCAATGATTACATCTTAAAAGATTAAAAATACCTTACATTTTTTAATATTTAATTTCTAAAAAAATGTCTTACATTTTTAAATGGAAAGAGTATCAAAATACAATTTATAAGTAAGATTCATTAATTTGTAAAGAAAACTTTTTTTAAATAAGGTTAATTTACAAGCTCGGATAACAAAGGAGGTTTGTATTAGACTAGTAAAAATCAATGTAAAACTTTATCAAATCTCATGTAGTTATAATAAAATTTGAATACAAATAGAGAAGGTCATAGAAAAGAGACAAAGCTGTCCCGACAGTGTAAAATAAATAGTCTTAAACCCTTTAAAGAGGAGTAGAGGAATATAAAAAGAAAAAAAATTAATCATTTAGTTCTTATAGTTTTAATTTAGTTGTAATTCAGTTTCTGAACTTTGACTTATTATAACTCAATCATTGAAATTTTGACTTGATTATAAATCAATCCTTGAACTTTACTTCTTATAATTTAATCCCTAAAGTTTTAACCTCTTAAATATTTATCTCTATATTTTAAAAATAAAATTACAAAAATTAAAATTATTTTAAACTTTTAGTATTTATAAATATTAAAAGGGTTTAGTATTTTAAGATATTAGCAATAAATTTTAAAATATTTTTTATTTTTATAATTTTATTTTTTAAAATACAGGGACCAATATTTAAGAGGTTTAAATTTCAAGAACTAAATTGTAAGAGGCAAAGTTTAAGATCTAATTTACAATTGAGTCAAAATTTTAGGAATTAAGTTATAACGAGTCAAAATTTAAAAACTGAATTACAATTAAGTCAAAATTATAAGGATTAAATGATTAATTTTCTCTAAACAAATACTCATGAAAATTATTTAATGGGACCTTTTGATTAATAATATTTTCAAAGGATTGGTTGATAATTGAATACATTAGTATCGTATAATTCATGTAGCTAATTCTATTTAACAGGATAAGGGGGATTGTTGATGGCGGTGTTGTTATATTTGATAAGTTTTTTTTTTTTAACAAATTAACAAATCTAACTTGCAAATTTTATTTCAAGGGGTTGTAAATTATGGAATAAGAATAGTAAATTCTTAAACCAATTCATTGATGATACTTTTGGATTAATGGAAGTTTGGATTTAGATTTGGTTTAGATCTCATTTGTACATACAAAAATTTAGGCTAAAATGTACCATTAGTCATTTAACTTTATATAAGGTTTTATTCTAGTTTTTTAATTTTATAAAGTGTCTCTTTAATTATTTAATTCTAACTCCATTAGTTTCATTAACAAAAGATTCCTATGTTAAATTTTTAAATATTAACAAAAACATTTTGAAATGATGATACGTTAAGATTAATTTTTAAAAGTAACAATGATTGCCACAAAAAAATCATTTGAAACTAACGGTATTAGGGTTAATGAATTAAAAAATACTTTATAAAATTAAAAGATTAAACTGAAACCTCATATAAACTTAAATAATCAAATGTAACTTCAGTCCAAAAATTTATAAATTTAAATTTAATCCAAATCTGAATCCATCTCTTATTATAATTCCTTTATATTTTTATCATTAATACTTTTATGATTTTCATACTTTTATTATCACCTCTCGTTGAATAAAACATAGAGATAAACTCATCTTTTTCAAGCTTTTTATTTTTATTTCAAATCTCAACTCCTCTATCTTTATTATATTGTCATGTGAAAATAATGTATAATTTATAAGATAAAATTAATGAACCTTTTTTTTAAATAAAAAGTCACAGAACAAACAGTGCAAAAATACATCAAGCCTTAGAAGAATCTCCTTATAGCTCAAGGAGATCCTTAAGGATAACAACATCAAAATTATGACAATAAGCGCGATGTACAAGTCAGTCAACGTGGTGATTAGCCTACTTGAAGATAAGGTAAAGGGTTACAATCCAATTCCACATAATTAGATTCATGATATTTGTAATATAGTTGAATAGGGTGGATTTGATCATGTTCATCGAGAATGAGTTTGATGTCTTTGATCTTCTGAGTCGCAATAAACATTGACTTGAGGGAGCTTTTCTTCCCAGCAAAGAGTTAGATTTCCAAGGATAGCCATTGTTATTATGCTCAATTGGTATCCCAAGTATTTGGTGTAACTTTTTATTCAATTTCCATTTGCATCATGAATAAGACTGCCACAGTCCCATTTTGACAAACAAAACCATTAAGGCTTGAGTGGATGTCGTTTAGAGTCTCTAGAATTAGGAGCCGGTCAATGTTAGTCTATCATGTTGGTGTTGAGGATAATGATCCTTCATGTCAGGTGTTCGAACTGACATTGAGAGAGAAGAGTAAAGAATTAGGAGCCAGAACATTCATCCTTGCTTCTAGCTTGATATATATCATCGATAATGCTTTGGGTACTGGTGATGGTAAGGTAATATCACTTTTAGGGGTGAGATCTTCTAAGCTCAAGATTATTCTGCATATGAACTTCCAAATTAATATTCCCACAAGAATGTGCAAACAACCTTTGCCAATTCACTTTTCTTGTTTTAGAATTTCCTGTTTCTTTTTTTTGCATTCCAAGTATCTAGTCTTGCAAGGAGAAAGAAGAATAATTTTTTTTTTTAATTGAAAAGTTTAACCAATTTTCGCCAACTTGCCTGGCTTTGGTGCAGTCTCTGAGAATATCAAGGGAGGAGTATAAAGAGTTGCAACCAAAAGGATAGATCCTATTGTTCGTGCCAATATTAATGAAGTTGGTTTGGACCCACTATTCTAAATTGCCTTCCAAAGACATTTGATTTTTTTTTATAGGTAGGTCATCTCTAAAAATTTTGTTATCCAAAATATTCTTTAAATATTATATTATTATTGTGTATATATCTTAGCCATTATTAGAAAGTATTATTTGATATTATTATATAATTATTAGTCATTATTGAATTGTTTATTTCTTGGTGTATAAAATGTACCCTTCAGCTTAGTAATATACATGACATTTTTCCATATATCTCTTTCTTGTGTCATGATACTAGAGCCATGTTTAAAAAAAAAATCATGTACACAAGAAAACCTACCACCAACAGTGATGTTTTCACACAAGTCATGCTTCTTAAGCCTGTATCATCAATGTTACTTAGCCCCGCCTTATAAGAAACCCTCCCTCCTAACCTAGTAATTATCATTGCTTTTCCACTAGCATTCTCCAGTTACATAAACCCAAATATTTTAAAGAAGCCTCTCGTGATCCCTCATAGCAGCAAGTTATGAATGAAGAATTATAAGCCTTGGAGAAAATGCACGCTTGGAATTTTGTTGACCTTCCTTTTGGTAAAACTCTGGTTAGATGCCACTAGATGTACAAAAATAAGACTCATTCTGATGGCTTTTTGAAGTAACGTAAAGCCTGCTTGGTAGCATAAGGATTTACATAAGAATATAGTGTTGATTATAAGCAAACTTTTGCACCTGTTACATGTATAACTTCTGTTCGTAGCCTTTTATTTGTTTGATCTACTGCTCATGGTATTGTTCTATTGCTATTGCATGTTGATGGCATGACTATTATAGACAGTGATGATATAGGACTTGAGAAGCTCAAGACATAATTGGGATAATAATTTGAAATAAAGGATCTTGGCAGACTGAACTATTTTTTTGGGCTTGAAGTCCATCATGGGATAGATGGTATGTCTCTCTCTCAAGTCAAGTACATTACCAATTCGATATTTCGAGCACACCTTTCTAATGGAAAAGTTTAAAATACTTCCATGAATCGAACATTCACTATACTTCCACTAATAGCACCTTGATAGATAATCCCATCTGTTATCACTAACTAGTTAAGGGCCACATCTATCTTACCATGACCTGTCTTAGCATTGCTTATACAGTCCATATTGTCAACCAATTTATGTCAGAGCCTTGAACTATTCATTATGCAGTAGTTCTTTGAGTCATTCGATAAATCAAAGGTATTCTATATCATGGGGTTCACTTCTTAGCTAGCTCTTCTCTTGCAATGCAAGCTTACTCTGATGCTAATTAGGATGGTGATCATAATGATCGATGATTTACGAGTAGTTACTATATCTTCCTTTGTCATTTTTTTATCTCCTAGAGAAGCAAGAAACAAACATTAGCTCCCACTCCAGTGCTAAATCAAAATACTGTGCACTACTAGACATGACTATTGAGGTATTTTGATTTCGTTGGTTACTTGATGAGTTGGGAGTATCTTAAGGTTCATTCATATAAATCTATTGTGACAGTCAAGTTGTGATCAAGCTTGCTCACAATGATGTGTTTCATAAGCAAACCAAACATATTAAGATTGACTATCACTTTACTCGACATCATGTTGTTTAGGACACCATTTGACTTGTTCCAATCCGGACAAAGCATCAGCCAACTAATTTGTTTATAAAATCTTTTCATCTAGGCCACTTTTAGTTCTTGGTAAATAAACTCAAGTTGCTCTTTATTAAGTCATCTTGAGTTTGAGGGGAAATGTTATTCAGAATATTCTTTAAATATTTTATCATTATTGTATATATATTTCAGTCATTATTGAAAAATATTATTTGATATTATTATATAATTTA